CACGAGAGGACGAAGTAGGTGCTCTTATCAGACGGCTGCTGATATGGATAGCCGGATAGGCCGATATTCATAGACTACAGTTCATAGCTTTTTCGTTCGACCGTTTTCATTATTTGCTGTTTCCTAACCAACTGGCCACTAAATTGACCCCCTTTGCAGCTCGTTGACACTACTGATGTGATTGAAGACTTTGGGATGGGAAGTGTACACAGGCCTTCAAGAAACCTGCCGCAAATCATGGATTCAAAGTCCCCCTCCCACGCCTTTGCGGGACTCGCGTGTAGAGGCGTCAAATCTGAAGTATTGTTTGGTTCCCTTGCATTTTCAGATGTTAACGTATTCAAGTGTGCAATAGTTTTTACATAAAAATCATAAGCAAATTGTTTATGCGACATTTATTTACGACCTTGAATGGCAAATGCCTCTATCTAGTAGGGTCGCCTTAACGAATGGATTATTGAGTGCACAGTGCGACGAACGATTCTGCGCATTCACTTAATAAAGTCAAACTCTGCTGTTGCTTGTTTTACTGACGAAAAGATATCAGCGTTTGCAACAATAGTAGTAGCAACGATACCGACGATCTCTTAATCCTTGAAAATATATCATTTATAAGTCAACAATGCATTGAAATGATAGCATATCAGTGGGCTGATGTGAAATCAATTCATCTCATGTTGCTTCCATTCGCATGTTTTCACCTCAATAGGGCTTACTTCTCGGGATACTACTTTGTTGGAATTATAGCCAACTACAAAATCTTGCTTTTTACTTCAGCACCTATGTGGTATGTAGCAACCATTCAGGGAGCGATGTAGCTGACGCAGCCGAGACACTAAAGCCATTGATGGGGTGAATTATGACTCACGAGTACAAGCACTTTGAGGCCAATGTCGATAGTGGATTAAGTACCAAATAACAGGAGGCACACTGTTACGAGATTGATTGGATTACCTCATACTAGAAAGATTAATCTCAAGGAACCAACAACTCAATTAACTAAGAACTATACTTCATTCACCCATACTTTGTTAAAAAAGGAACTTCTTTGTTGAGTTAATGAGACTCTTTTGCCACCTTAAGCTGTAGAGTTAGTAAACACCAGTACTGAACAGAGCACCTGATCGAGTGTGAATCCCGGAAGACGAGTGAACTCGAACACAGCTGACTAGATATCAGAGAACTACAATGAGGAGTGAGGCGATGAAGCAGAAAGGAGTGAAGGTCAGCACAGTAGCTCAACTATCAGAGCACCGCAGCAGGTATGTCTGGAGCATGGGGAGCAACAAAACAGAAATGGTGTTCGTACAATCGAGTTGTAGTAACACTGTGATTATAAGATAAAAAGTAGCTTTTGGGTAGTTACAAGGCCTGTTCTTTGATTCTAATTCTCAATGACCTCTAGAAGTTCTTCTAAGGTGATGGTCTTGGTGCCGTGGTGCAAATCCCTTACTCAAAGCGAAAGTTTAGTCTACGACGTAGAGCATTAACTGGAAGGGTCCCCTAAGCAGCGGTTAGCAGTTTACCCTATGATTTACACATGGAGATTAAGCTGCTCAGCATTGCGACTGCCTTAACTCCCCCGTAACCTTGCAGCTAGTTGTTGCGAGGTCACACAGGAACGAGGTGCACCTGCATTGCAAATGTTCAACTCGTTTTAGGCAGCAGAATATGCGGCATTCTTTGTCGCTTTACTAGACACCTCAACAAACGTTCACATGATTGCGGAACGTCACAGCGGCATTTTGTCCATCGTCTAATTCTACATGTCCCATTCCTTAATTGTGTGCTAGACCGCTTGATAGTTCCCCACATTTAAACATAAGGCGTTATGGTTCACTATGGAAATCTGAAGCTGTTTGTGAGGAGACACACTCGAGGATATATAAGGTTTACTGTGCCTGGTACCCAGAAAAGAAGTTCGAGCTTTATATATACTGCTGACGCGTCACGTGTGTAATATGCAGGGGTTGGTATTTCATTTGAAACTTAACCCGAAGGGTCTTCAGACAATATTTTGCGATACACTTATTAATGATCTTGTCACCTTCATAAAACACTGCAGCATTGCGTTATGCTGTCGTGGAAGAGAGTTGACGATGTTCCAGTCAACATGACAACTTATGTCATTCGAAACCGGAAAATTCATTCGCTTTGAGGATTGTTTTGGAGCTTCGAGTAGTGTAGGCCATAGGCATTTCCGCGTCGTTCTTGTATACACAACTTTCTGCACAACGAGTTTAAAGCTTATCTTTCCCAGCGTTCGTCATATTGATGAGAAAATAAAACAAAAGAAACGAACGCGAAATAACATACGTGGTGTTCCTTCTGAAATCAGTGTAGACAGCCCCAGGTATCTAAAACGCCTGTTGTCTCGCCACCTGTGTACGCCTTGAGAAAAGAGACCCTCTATAGATGATTATTATGCGTTGCTCGCTCGCTGCCATACTGTAGGGATGACGGGGTCAACGATTACGCGAAAGACCTTGAATCCACGAAAACGAGAGAGGAAGAAAAGTGACACCCACAATGAAGGAAACGAGACGGCGCCACACAATACCTATATAACGAGCTGAGTGCGTTAGCTGACCTGAGCCAGGAATAACAGCAAATGTATTAATAGAAAAGTCAGCAAGATACGTCATTGCTGGTGTCTTCTGGATTTGCCTCATACAGAGTATCCACTTACTATCAAGCCTTAAAACAGGCTGGCCTAAATGAGACTCAAGGAAGCGAAGAAAAGGTTCAAAAAATACGGAAGGTCCGCCAAGTTGGGGCAAACAGGCACACTAATGTGACAGCCAATGAGTTACCATATGTGGTGCATTTTGGGACAGGAAGGTCACCTCTGGATATGCACGTGCGTTAGAGCTGTGTTAACTGTCATCCCATGCAATATAGACCGTACTTACTATTCGCTTCGTTTTCGCTGCAATCTGGTTCAATTGCGGGCCGTGACAGAATGGAGTGAAGCTCACTTCAAAGTGAGTTGCAACCCTGATTGATACTGTGCCAAAATCCTCTAATGTAATCAGTACACCATCGGTCCCACTTGATCTCGCAAATACGGTTAGTTTCAAACCATCTAAATGCGTCTGTGGGAATTATATGACAAACGGCTTCGTGGTTGATCAGACAACTAACCCGGTCAGACAATGATGTTCGGCCTGTAAGTTACGAAGTTTGCAAGTCGCGATCTGCAATCCACAGTAAAACAACATCTTGTCAAATATTCCATAGTGTGCCTTATGCGCCGGCCAATTTACTGGAGCGTGATTGGACGAAGCAGTTGCCACATTTCTTCAATACAAAGCACTCCGTATGGGAGGCGACCGTAAACTCGATCCTAAAGCGATACCCAGATGTAGTAAACGCATACCAGTCGGGGAAGCTGAATAATGTTAAGCCTAAAAACCACATGGCGATTGTTAATACGCCAGCATTCCTCAAGCTTCAGCCAACATTCCATTCTTCAAGTCCGAAAGTTGGGGAAGTATTAAAACGACTCCAGCACGTAGGAATAATCGTACCGGTACAACAATCCGAATGGGCAGCACCGATATTCCCCGTGCTTAAGCCGGACGGCAGTGTGCGGATTTCAGCTGTTTACAAACTAACAGTGAACCGCTGCACTATCATGGACCGTTAAACGTTGCCGAAAATGGAATATTTGCATGCCGCCTCAGCGGATCGGGTCAACTTCACTAAGCTTGGTTAAAGTCACCCTTATTCCCAAGTGATTCATCGTCGGGGATTTACCAAAAGATAATCGACGTCGTACGAGATATACCGGGTTCTTGTGCATATCTGGACGACTTACTAATCTCCGGTCATACAGGAGAAGTACATCCGCGCACTCTAGAAAGCTACTGCACAGATTATCCGAAAACGGGTTACGCTTGAAGCGTTCTAAATGTGCGTTTCTGGTTGATTCTCTTGATTGCCTTGGATATTGGCTAGATAAAAATGGTTTATATGCACGAAAAAGCAAACCGGAGCCATTATTAGTGCACCACCTCCACGTAAGGAAACATCATTAGTTCGTTCGCTGTTTACCTAACCTGACCTCCATGATCGCACTGCTTCACGAATTGTTGCAGAATAAGGCCAAGTGGTCATGGGCAAGGAAATCGGAACAAGCCTTTCTGAAAGCGAAGAAGCAGCTCATTTCTTCATCCATGAGCATCTTCTCGGCAATGGGTGCAACTCAAAATAAATAACTTTTATTGCCTGCCATGTGCTAGTAGAACATGACAGAGGAGTTCATACGATCTGTAATTGAATGCGAATTTGTGAAATATAAAAACAAAAGTACATGTTATGCCGTTTCAGATTCATATAGGCTTAAAAGTCTTGCCAAAATTGGTTTAAAAATACGTGAAATATGTCAGGGGGTCAATTTACCGAAAATAAGGGCATTAGGTAGTTGATTTTATGTATGAGACAGGGGCGGCGAATACGAAGCTGCCAAGGCTACGATCTGGAGAGGAATATGGATCGCACTGGTTACATACATGGTTGGGCTTATTACCCGCAGTGGACGTCTTACCCCATTCTGTCCTACTCTAGCGCAAGCATGTTCCCTCTACTGAGCTCTGAATCCAAGCCAAATATGCCAAATTTGTTAGAGGAAATGACAGTCAACCACAGCAGTAAACTGAACAATAAGGCTGCAGATCAGTGGTGCTGGTTAGCATATGCAAATCTTTGCGCTCAAATGATAATCTGTCCGCCCTCCATCTGAACTCTCAGTTCTCATTCACTCTGCTTTCATTTCGTCTTTAATACTGGAATGCTTTGTCAGGACAAAAAAGAAGTCTAGCTTATGGTTTGTTAATATGCATGGTAAAGTACGTCACTATGATTTTGGTTTGACCCACTGATGCTGATACATTTCTCTTCGAATTGTTACGTCGGCAGCTGAGGAATGCTTTAGACTAACACTATCGTGTTGTATATTCAGATGTGAACTACCACCATTTTTCATCCCTTACTTTTAGCCACAGAACAGCAGCGGACTATGCGAACTGTACAGCACTGCATCTAAAAGGCGCGTATGTCACGAATCTTTGGTGTGTCAGGTCGAACACGAATGTGCAATTGAAAATGAAGTGAGTAAACTGTTGGTTTAAATAAGGCTCACGATTGGGCAAAGGTAAATTCGCGTGTTTTCGCGATAAGATAGGGTTGAAGTGTTTTGACCTGAGCAACATTAACCGCATGTTTCGTTTAGTATCCATGGAACAATAGTGTAATGCCGGCAAAATCAAGACTTGACACGTCTCGTCGGATAGTCTGTGTGAAAGAAATGTGCCAATAAAGTGAAACGCGCATCTGTGGGCTCACCAATGAATCCACCTTAATGCGCATGCATATCCAGCTACTCCGATTTCGTGGGTGATGGTGATCAAGATGTTTGTCTGCGTCTTGTCTTCGCTCGATGAGCTGATTTCATAGCACGCAACATAGAAGGCGTAATGCGTCGTCAACATTTTAAAAAGGATAACATGGGCACAGAAGTGACAGAAGTAGCAGGAGCGTTCCACGGCCGACAGATTCTAAGGGGGGAAAAGATTCCAATGGTATTCCATCCGACTGTATTGGGCAGCCGCTTTCAACTGGTGGCATCTCAGTTTTGTGTTTCAGCCAAGTTTGGCGAGAAAATAATTTACAGAGGTGTAGCTGCCTAAATAAATGCAAAACAACCTAATAAATAAAAACGAGTCAATTAGTTTAAGTAATGCAAGAAGCTAGAGAGTTTGAACTACCGGATAAATGTATCTTTTGAACGTTTACAGCCTGATATCATCCAAGACTGCGTATCACGAGGCATGAGAGGCGCATACATGACGGCATACGTGTAGTCTTGCATTAAACTTAATCTGATTTCTCAAAACTCTAAAGAAAGAATACAATGAGCGGGATGTGGACAATATGGCTTAATAGCAGCAACGACAAACTGAGGATGGTGCTTTGCAAATGAGTCACAATAACAGTGTACAATCAGTTAAACACCAACTAAACTGCTGGTTATGTGTCGTGGTATAGAAAGACGAATAACCAGGTTCTTAGTGAGATGATTCGTAGAAACTTGGACATCACCGCTTGAAACACATGGTTCATTTAGGTTGATCAGCAACAACATAGGGAAAGGATACTCCGGAGACTACGGAAAATTGCAGGTGTGCTTTAAGGAGTCCGCAAGCCGCTGTTCTCAGTTCACTTAGGTGGCGGAAAGTTGCAGACCTGTATTCTACAGCTTTACAGTCTTACTTTCATAAGCCGTCAAAAACAATTAACACAATTCCGTGGTTTCACGGAACATACAACCAGCAGACTGCTTTGACTTTACTAAGTTTTAAGATTTGAGAATCATTGACATTGCTTCTAGTGAGAAAAATCCGATAAACGTTTTACTTGACTCCGAGTATAAAGCTAACCAGTATTCGTTAAGCTGAATGAAATTGTAAACTACCACCAGGAAACACCTAGTAGCTAATGGAAGAACGTAAGCAACCCCATGAACGTAAGGTGAGGTCTGGTTGCCATGAATTTTGGTAGAGAAAGTGGATTATCTGGGCAGCTACACAAGTGCAGCGTACCGAGTTATCGAGTTAACTACAATAGTTGCATCCTTGTATGTACATGAAATTTGTAGTCTCGCAACCATAAATAATCTAAACTACATAAAGGAGTACATTTGTACTATCACATTTTCTCTTCCGGCTTCAAGACGAGAGCCATTTACGTCCAACAACACATATCTTTTATGATCTGAATACCTGACGCACGTCATGATAGCTGTTTAATTTTGTCTAATCTTTTGTTTACTACGGTACTGTCCTACCGCCTTGATATGCTTGAACTGTATCGTTGTAATAGGCGTAATAAAAAAATCGAAAGCAGTTCTTTGCTTTCCGTATTCTTTTTCGAATCTGATAAATAAAATGGATATCACACGAAATTTTAACTACTGTTCTTTGATGCAGTTGCAGACCGCTAGAGGCAAGACGATGGTTGTGGCAAAATGCACGCATTAGACTTGTGAGATCGTTAAAGTGATGTGCTGTTGCGAAACAGACAATGTTTAAAACCTCAAAACGGAACGCTTTTAAGTAAGATGGTGATTATATACATATATATAACTATCCCCAACAATGTGCAGTTATTTGGCCATCGGAATCATGGCAGAATAGGAAAACAGGATTAGCGTGTAAGAAAAAAGAAAAAATGATTTTTGTCCACTTTCTCACACTGTTTTTTCGCTTTTTTGTTATTTTTACTGTAAGATGGAAGGGGAATCACAGTAACAAGCAGAGATGCGCTACTGCCACTGTGTTCGGTTTTGAGCCATGAATTACAAACTTTCCAACTCGCTGCACTCAGCATCATTGGTATTTCATCCATGGAGTCGAGAAGAACCAACGGAGGCTCGCCGTTTCGCCAGTTTTTTCATCCATCTTCTTCAAGTAGAGGCTGTCGACCACGCCGCCACCTCCAGCCGTGTCTGTCAATCGTAAAACTTCCATCCAAGACACACTGATTGAGTTCAATGTTGTTTACGTGGTACAGCCACCACGCACGAGTCATGGCTGGTCGCACAATAAAACCCCCGTTTGCTGAAGATATAGCAAATATGACGCAGGAGGTGGGGGCAGAGCAGGTATTGCCAAACAATGAGCAATTTACAACTCACAAACCCGTACAGGTATGGTTCGTGTTTCCTTCCCACGACACACTGCGGATGAGGAGTTGTGTCACAGACCATTCCATGTGCCTACGAGTTTGAGCTTCGGAACAATCCGCTCCAGGTTTTCATCCCGTATCTCCGCTTCGCTGTATCCGATTCTGGCCAGCCAGGAGTCGTGTGAAAGCTCACGATTTGCTCTCCTGTGGCTGCATCATTCGGCCCGAGTTCAGTCTTGTGGGCTTCGCTAGCGTCGTATTTGTCTGATTCATTGCATTCCCGACAAATACCGCCTATGTTGTGCTGTGCTCAGGCTCGTTACCAAATGTAGTTTGTGCTCCACTGGCGGCTCAATCCGCAAGGCTCGCAGTGACTTGTCTCGTCTCATCCATTGCGCCCGCTGGTAATGCTCTGCTACCCCGTTTTCGCTGTCCTTCCAGTTCACGGGTAATCATAGGCTTCTTCCGCTCTACAAAGAGACTGATGTCATGGCCGTGTCATAAATGCCTCAGCCTGGAATAGGTGAGGCGTACTCTTGAGATACCCGTCGAAACCTCCTTTCCAACATTCCCACCAGCAGTTATGTAACTTCGCAAGCAGATAAAACTCTATGCCGCTTATAACGTTTCCCCATGGATGGTGAGTGCAGGTTGGGGCGTATACCAAAGTTGAAAAAGCGCTTTGCACTCGGATGGTGTAACTTGCATGCCATACTTCGACGCTTCAATCACCAGGCGTTTAAGTGCAAGTTGGACAACCTGCGGACCGTCATCCAAAAAGAGGATAAGCTCAGAGCACTCCAAATCAACCACCCGACTACTTGGGAGGAACTCAACGTTAGAGTTCAACAAGTTTTATAGAGTATTTTTGCGGACATCCTCATTGGCAAAGTCGAAGAGGAATGGAGAAATAAGACATCGTTCTCGAACCTCACTAGTGGCAACAAAGGAATGCGAAAATTTCCGTAGGCCCTAACTCTGTCAGAGGTCAGACTATACAGAACACGCGGTAGGGAAATGAAGTTCCCAGAAATGCCATTCTTCCACAGTCAGTGTCACGATGCAGTCCTTTCGACATAAGTGAAGGCAACAAGTATATCCAGGAACACAACAATTGTTGGCTTTCGATACACATGGCGAAGCTTGTGAACCTGGCTGAATATGAAAATTTGATCCATGCAGGTGCAAACAGAGCGGAACCCAGCCTGTTTCCCTCGAGGCGATTCAAGAGTTGGGGCAGTCTGCGAAGAATGATGAACACCAGACCAGACCGGGAACCAAATGTACACCCCATAATTGGACCACATTGTGCACAAGCAGTTTTTGAAGACGGGGAAGACTATCGACTCACTCCAGTATGATGGAACCTCTTTTTCCCAGAGTTCTGAGAACAGAGCACTGAGTTCTCGCACTGTTCACCGCAAAGTTAAGTGGAATAAACAAAACCTCCATTCCTCTAACTTTGCGGCAGGTTCACACAAATGTGGCTTTTTGTAAATTCTGCGCTACAGCGCCAGACGCATTTTTAACACTGAGACATGAAAAGCCTAAGAGGAGTTCCTACACAGGATTCTGCGCTATCAAGTGCACTCCATCTTTCGGATCTAGCTTATGTGGATTGTCTCCACATTTCGGGTTTTGCTTCATTCCCGCAAAAACAATCGAGGAATTTTCCGAGTCACGAACCACACAGAAATATTTGTGGTCTCAAACGGAAGCTAAATACACGTTTCATCTGACGAATCAGCAACTACAGCTGTGAATGGTTTATCAAAGTAGCTATCGTCCGTATCGCTCAGTAGGGGTGTGGATGGAAGAAGAGGAGGGGTGGCCAAGCGATGACTTGGTCGAGAGGAATGAAGGCCCTCACTTCTGAGCTGGCCTCGGTTGGAGCGCCTCAGCTTCCTGGTTGGGGTCCGAAAGACGATGAACACGTTTGGTTGGACACACTTGCTGATATGGCTAGGAGCCGACCTCAGTAGCTTTCGTGCTGTGAGTTTCTTTATCCCACCTCACACCTCTTAGCCTCCCCTCCAACCACGATCTCATTATTTAGGCTTATATAAGTTTGCATAGTAATATTTTTTGATGCACAGCAGCCGGCTGGTCGCTTACCGGAACGATGCCCATCCGTTACCGGTAGCTCAGACGGCTTGCAACATTTGCTTTTTTCTACTTTCACTGTGCGTTGCTGCCCAGTAGCTGCGGTGTTCCCCACCTCTAGCTAACGTGTATGATGATGATGATGAGGAGGATGATGATGATGCTGATGATGATGATGATGATGATGAGGATGATGATGATGATGATGATGATGATGATGATGATGATGATGATGATGATGATGATGATGATGATGATGATGATGATGATGATGATGATGATGATGATGATGATGATGATGATGATGATGATGATGATGATG